GCAAGGAGAATGTAGGGCTGGTGCCTGATACCACAGAGATGGGCATCACATCAGGCCCTCCTCAAAGCTCTAAACCCCACCTCTTCCCCCAGATACCGGAGCACTTTTTGCTCTCCCACAGCAGAACCTAAAGAGACACCCCAAAACTTGCAGTCTAGTAGGATACTCCCGGGGGCACCTAATAACAGTCCCCCCCTCCCTCCAAAAACACCATCCCAGTTGCCATGAAGGGATGACCCTCCAAAACAACCCTGTAGGGTAAATCCCCTCTCCCTGCTTTGCAGAGAGCCCTCTGGCCTGAGGGTGCCCCCAGGGCGGTCCCAGCACCCGCAGCAGAGGCCCCTTGCTGCCATACTGCCTCCAGCTCCAGCGCCTCGGACGGACTCTGCCCGGCCCGGGCCATGCTCCGCCCCGGCATCCCGTGCCACCCCGCGTCTGGCTTCCATCCCGACACCAGCTCCTGCCTCGCCCAGACCCCAGGCATATGGCACTGCAGGCACACAGGCACGGCGAGGGGAGCTGGCCCCGCTCCCATGGTGGGGATGACCCCATCATTCATTTGTGCCTGCATCCACAACCCCAAACCCACTCTGCTGCCTGCCCCCCAACAGCTCTGCACCTCCGTGGTGCAGCCCTGGCCCTGCTCGCCCCAAATGCAGGGAGATATAAGTTTAATGCCACAGGGCTGCTCCAGCCTCTGCAGAGGACAGGACGTTGGAGGGGATGAGCCACCTGCAACAAGGACACACTGCCTCTGCAAAGACCCTTGAGCTGAAGCACGATGGGGGACACGGGGGGGCAGAGACCCACCATCCCAAACAGTCTCCCTGCCACACAGGAACTGCCACCATTGGCATCCAGCACAGACTCCACTGCAATTTGGTGGTGTTCAGGACAGCTTTTATTCCGAGCAAGAATATTGCAGTTTCTCCAGTACCTCAGGGAAAACCCTCACTCCCATTGCAAAGTTGGGGATCAGGACCCCACCCAAGGCAAAAATACCCACCATGGCCCCTGGGCTAACAGTGGCACCTTCATGGGGATGCAGGAGCTGTGGTGCCATTGTGTGAAGCCCAAACAGGCAGTGGCCCTGGCAGGAATGGTGAAATCCAGCCCAGGAGAAGGCTCTGCAGCACAGGAGCCAAACCCCAGCAGCGCTCCAACAGGAATGTGGAAGGCCAATGCCCACTCTCAGCCTGACTGCTCCTATCAGCTGGTGAAAAGCACACTCAGGGAAACAAGTGCTTCCCGTGCACTCCAAGTGCTCCAGATAAGTGACATATCAAAAACAAGACACAGTGTTTATAGCCTGGGCCTGGTGTAACTCCCCAGGATGTGAACAGGTCACTAGTCCTCAACAGAGCGGTGCAGAACTGGGCACACCAGCTCATGATGCTCTCCTGCCTACTTCCCAGCTGGGCCTTTGGATACCTTCCCAACCAGATACAAACACACACCACAGCCAAGGCTGCTTCATCAATAGCTGGAGCAGCAGCCCAGGAAAAAGAATGCAGTTGAAGGCTGAATGTAGCGCAGATGGGCTGGCAAGGGGCTGACATTCCAAATTCTGGCACAGTGGAAAATAAGATAACCTCCGAGCAGGATGCTGGCCAAACAACATCCAGCTAGACCACTGGCAGAGGTGTGTGCCCAGATTCCTGGTTTCAGAAATTCTGGGCTGGGACTGGCACCTCAGCCAACACTGAAGCACCTCTCACCCACCCAGGCACTTGCAGCTCCCACTGATTAACATGCCCTAAATAAACTGCACTCTGTGCCACCTCTGTGGCTAAATACAGACCAGTGGCAAGCTGCAAGTACCTGCATTTAAACCCCACAGCTCAACTCTATGCATTTCTTTCCAGGGTTGCTGGTGTGAGCAGAGCACCTCACCCTACATGGCAAGTAAGCGGACACGGGAATTGCTGGAGGGAGCAAAGTTTCAGGTGAGTTAGTTTCAGCTGGGCACAGGTGAGCATTCCGGAGCAGAGGTGTGGATGGAGGCACATGAAAGGGGACCACATGCCCAGAAACACAGACTCTACACATATTCCAGCTGACATCCAGCATGATCCAGACATAGTTCTGAACCCCAGGGCTGGATGGTAGAGGATGTTTTGCTTCCCTCAGTGCCAGTTGAGACATCCTCGTGCCTTTGGCTCCCCTTCACTTCAGCAAGTGATTCAGCTGGTCCTGAAGGTTTGATGACCGCTCGACGCTGGGGACCAAGAGGAGATTTAGAGTGAGATCTGCTCCCCAGACTGTGCTGTGCTGCCTGTGCCCAAGGGACCAGAGCAGCTCGAGTGCTGACACTACAGCAAAGAGAAACCCCGAGGCTCTCCAACCCACTTCCATGCCCCACAGGCAAGCCTCACTTTGTGCACCCTGCTCTACACAGCTCTGCTCCACACCACCCCCATCTCCTATCACAAGCAACCTCACAGGCTCTATCATGTCAGTGAATAAACTGATGGTATAAATCCCACCTCTTCACTCAAATTCCCATCTCTTCACAATACTGAAACACTATCCTGCTGGGCCAGCATCTGCTTCAAAGGCAGCTGCAAACACCTTTCCACTCTGCTTTCTGCCATCCTACTCCATCATTTTTCCCTTTCCACACCCACATGTCCCCCAGAGTGGTACTCACTTCTTCTGAATTGCTTCTTGCCTAGATGAGAAAAGGAAAGATAAAAAGAGCATTACAAAACCAAAATCTAGTCATGATGTTATGTTAAAGAAAAGGTACTTGAACAATGGCTCAGGAGACACACAGAAATCCCCTGTTTCTGGATTAAGGCCTAAGGGACAGCAGTGGCACTGGCTTCTTCCCCTTAGTCCCAGATGTGTCACACATGCTCATGGGCGACACAGTACATGGTAAACAGGAGGCAGAAATCTCAGCTCCCACTCCAGAACAGCCTGAGCTGTACCAGTGGAGCTGAAGAGGGCTGGAAAATTCCAGCTCCAGGGTCTGCTCAGCTTTGAAGAACTGGAAAAGAGGGATTGGTCTGAGTAGGCTTCATGCAAAGTCTTTAAGGAGAACAGAAAAGGACTGAGGGATCCACTCAATCCCTGAGAGAGAACATACTTACTGGTACTGTAGATGAGTGGTTATTATAGCCATTTTTCTTAAACTCTGTGGAGAACAAAACAAAGAATGAATGCTTGCAAAATCACAGTGCAAGCTGTCCCAATACCCTGGGGAGTCACAGCCATCACTGTATCACTGTACTGCCTACAAAATATCCCCGCCAGTATCTGTCAGCAGTGGCACACTCTCCTCTTCTTTCCCAATGACAGGCACAGATATAAGTGCTTTGTTTCAGCCCACGGTCCCTCCAGCTTCCCATCAGAGAGGTCCAGCTGGCCAGGCTGCAGGGCACTGGGGGGCCAGTGGCACACGTGGGTTTGAGGAACTATTCTGGCCACCAGGCCTGCTTAACGCATGTATTTCACTTCAGGGCTCCTCGAGCATGTCTGCAAACTGTTCTTATCACCCTCCCCTGCTCCTGTCCCTGGAATCACTGTTGCTCGAGCAGAAGAACACAGCTTACATCTTCCGAGTGCAGGATGGCATCTTCTTGCATCACCATGTTCCTTGCAGCTTGACCCAGGAGCTAAAAGACAAATGCACAGACCAGGCTGTGAGGCAGCAGCTCTGCATTTCCCGAGGCCCCTGTGACGGCTCGCAGGGTGACACTCGGGATGACATCTGGGAGAGCTCCGCGGTGCCCTGGGCCCAACATCCATAGGGAGCGTCTGAGGCACCGCTCCCGTCGGTCACCCTGAGAGACAACGTGAGGCAGGGGCAGCCTCCCGCCTCCCAGCGCTGCCAGAGGCACCGAGAGCCCCGCGGCGCTGCCCAGCCGTGCCCGCATCCCGGTCCCGCTTTCCTGTCCCTGCCCGACACGGGGATGTGTCCTCGCCTTGGACTACAGCTCCCAGCATGCCCCGCGCCGCCGTTCCCGGCGCTCCGCTCTGCACCGGCGGGGCTCGCCTGGGCCCTGTAACCGGCCGTCCGCCGGCACCCGCCGCTCACCTCGGCGCTTCGGGAGCCCTTCAGCACCTGCTTGGTGAGGGCGATCACGTCGGTGCCGCAGCTTGTCACCTTCTCGGTCAGAAGCCCCTTCACCGAGTGCCCGAAGCGCGCCTGGGCGTCCGCCGCGCCCCCCGCCGCCATCTTGCCCCCCCGCTTCGCCCGCCCCCGGGAGCCGCTACGGCGAGCGCCGGGGGCCATAAGGATCGTGAAGGCGAAGGGCCCGCGGTGGGTGGGGGCAGTGCTGGGAGGGACTTCTGTTCCCAAGGAACTCCGCCAGGACACATCAGCTTCGGACATCACCGCGGGCACGGGCATCCCGAGGCTGCCCAGGGCTGCCCATCACTGAGTTTCTGCCCAGCACTGACCAGAGTTTCTCAGCACTGACCAGTCCTCACCAGCACTGGTGAAGACTGCCCAGCACTGTCAAGTGCTGCCCGTTGCTCCCCATCACTGACCAGGGCTGACAACCGGGGATGCTCAGGGCTTCTCAGCATTCCCAGCCCTGGCCAGTGTTGTCCAGGGCTTCTCAACACTCCCAGTGCTTGCCCAGCGCTGCCCAGCCCTCCACCCCTGTGCTGCCCATTCCCTCCAGGGCACATCGAGGTGCTCCCAGGGTGGGGACGGACCCCGGTGCCCCACGAACCCCCCAAGCTGTGCCCATGGCACCCAGGACAGACGTCGAGGGCTCGGCTGTCCCCTCACCCCCCACAGGGCCCTGGGGATGGAACCCCAAGGACAGACCCAACCCTGGGCATCCCCTGGCCCCCAGCCCGCTGGATGCAGCTCCCCCACGGCCACCCAGCGCGGCCGTGGCCCCGCTGCCCTCGCCCCCCGCCATGTGCCCACAGCTGCAGAGCTGGCCACGGGCCCAGGCCCGGCTCCCCCCTCCCCGTCCCCCCGATAAGGAGCCGAGCCCGCCTCAGGGTCAAGGCGCGGCCCCCGCCGGCGCTATAAGGGCCCCCCGCGCTGCCGCAGCCCCTCAGCCGGCCCCGCCATGGCGCTGCTGGGCGCCCTGCTGCTGGCCCTGGCCCTGCTCTGCACATGGGGGCTGGCGCGACGGCGGGACCCCTCGGGAACAGGGACAGGGACGGGTCTGGGGCGCCCACGGAGCCTGCCGGCCCTGCCGTTCGTGGGGAGCCTGCTGCAGCTGGCCGGGCACCCCCAGCTCCACCTGCGGCTGTGGCGCCTGCAGGGACACTACGGCAGCCTCTACGCCCTCTGGATGGGCTCCCACTACGTGGTGGTGGTGAACAGCTACCGGCACGCCAGGGAGGTGCTGCTGAAGAAGGGGAAAGACTTCGCCGGACGGCCCCGCACCGTGAGTCGGCGGCAGGTTTTGGGGGGACCCTTCCCACGGTGGTGTGGGATGAGGCGGGGGGGCTGCTCCCAAGAAAGGCACCAGCACCCAGCAGGATCCTTCTCCTCTCCCCATCCTGCCCGCAGCAAGCCAGTGGCAGGGCAGCCCCTCAATGCCTCGTTCCCCAGAGCGAACCCTGGGCATCCTCCATCCCGAGGGTGCCTGTTTTTCCCGCAGCTGGCTGCATCTCGGGACATGGGGACATGGGTTCAGGTATCATCAGGCTCCCCACACCCCCTAAGTTTCCTGGGCACCCTAGAGCCCTTGACCCTGGCACCTGATCCCAAATGCCTCTATCAGTCCTTGGCAGGGGGGAAAGCAAAGCTCATAGCTCAGGCTTTGACTGCCTTTACTAACCCCCAGCCCCTCAGACCATCCCTGGGATGAGATGATCATCCGTCCCCCCAGGTGTCACCCTCACAGAGCTGCTCTGCAGCAGGGTGACCCTGAGACTGCCTGTCCCCCAGGTGACCACAGACCTGCTGTCCCGGGGGGGCAAGGACATCGCCTTCGCCAGCTACGGGCCCCTCTGGAAGTTCCAGCGCAAGCTGGTGCACACTGCTCTCTCCATGTTTGGGGAGGGCTCGCTCGCCCTCGAGAGGATCAGTAAGTGCCTCCCACCAGCCCCCAGGCTCCCTCCCAGCTCTGGCTCCCTCCTGCACTTAACCTGGGCTGGACTTCTCCTTTCTCTGATTCCCTGGGAACCTCTGATTCCCCGGGAACCAAGGGGAGATCCTGACTCAGCTCAACCCCCCCTGGCATCCCCTTGCCGAGCAGGTGCTTGGTCCCTCTCCTTCCATCCCTGCTACTTTAACCACACCTCTCCCCACACATTTTTTGCCCCCAGCTTTAGTTACCCTCAGTCATAGATGGGGACATTGAGGCATGCTGTTCCCCACTCCACCCAGGAATAGCACTGAGCCACACTTAGAGACTTCCATCCACCCTCCTCCTCCCAGCACCCAGCATTGTCCCTTCTGCCCATCCCAGGCCCTTGGGGCTCAGCCCTGGCAGGGGGTGCTCTGCAGGAAGCACACCCTGAATGAGCAGGGACCCCTCCTTCCAGCCCCGAGCTTCCCCCTTCACCCCTTGGCTTCACCATCACCACCTCAACACTCCCTCGCCTGCCTCTCCTCCACCTCAGTCTGCCGGGAGGCTGCATCCCTGTGTGAGACACTCGGCGCTGCGCAGGATACGGCCCTGGACATGGCCCCTGAGCTCACACGGGCCGTCACCAACGTGGTCTGCTCCCTCTGCTTCAACTCCTCATACCGGCGCGGGGACCCCGAGTTCGAGGCCATGCTGGAGTACAGCCAGGGTATCGTGGACACCGTGGCCAAGGAGAGCTTGGTGGACATCTTCCCCTGGCTCCAGGTGAGCAGGGACATGGGAACTGCCTGTTCCTCTTACCTCAGACAAGAGGAAGGAGCTGGGATGTGTCCTGCAGGAGCCCCCCCAGAGTTAGGAGGGTTCCTGCCCTGGTATCCCAGTATCCTGGTTGGCATGGAGAGACTGCCTGGGGACCTGCAGGGGCTGGGCTGGGCTGGGCTCAGTTGGAGTCCCTTGCTGTAATGTGGCTTCTCTCCCCTAGATCTTCCCCAACAAGGACCTGGCCCTGCTGAAAAAATGCCTCCAGGTCCGAGACCAGCTGCTCCAGCAGAAATTCACTGAACACAAGGTGCCAGTGCGGCCAGGACAGGGGGATGCTTAGGAGCTGCAGGGTGCTGGAGCTGGGATATGCCCAAGACAGCCCAGCTTACACATGTCCCCTGGCAGGAAGCCTTTTCTGGAGACACTGTGAAGGACCTCATGGATGCCCTGCTGCAAGTGAGGCTCAGTGCTGAGAACAGCAGTCCCCCGGTGCCAGGGCTGGAGCTGACTGACGACCACCTCCTCATGACAGTGGGGGACATCTTTGGGGCTGGCGTGGAGACCACCACTACTGTTCTCAAATGGGCTGTGCTCTACCTGCTCCACTACCCTGAGGTAGGGTCTGCACCCCATGGCAGGGGGCCTGAGCTCCCTCCTGCACCAGGGACATTGTGAGGGGCTTTGGGGGAGGGCAGATGCCAAAAGAGATGTCAGGCCCCGCAAATAGGCAGGATCAGGCTGTGGCCATTTTACTTCTGCCCTGCACAACCTGACAGGACATGGTGGTGATGATTGGATGTACCCCACTGTGCACAGGGCAACCCCTCCCTGGGCTCCGGCCCCAGTCCTTGCTCCCTTCCCAGGTCCAGAGGAAGATTCAGGAGGAAATGGACCAGAAGATTGGCCTGGTTCGACACCCCCACCTCAGCGACCGCCCACTACTGCCCTACCTGGAGGCCACCATCAGTGAAGTGCTGCGCATCCGGCCCGTGTCTCCCCTGCTCATCCCACATGTGTCCCTTGCTGACACCAGGTGAGACCCCGCTGGGGTGCAGCCAGGTTGTGGGCAAGTGACTTGTGGGAGGGAGCAACTGTCTCACTCTGTGTTCGCCTTCCAGCATTGGGGAATACTCCATCCCCAAAGGCGCCAGGGTCATCATCAACCTCTGGTCCGTGCACCATGACGAGAAGGAGTGGGACAAGCCCGAGGAGTTCAATCCTGGTGGGTCAGGGGATGGCAGGGTGGGTGCAGCCCTGGGGGAGGCTTGGTGGTGGGAGGTCAGATCCTGCTCCCACCTGTCGGGGGCATTTGCACCATCTCTGCTTCTGCAGCTCATGGGAGGGACACGCACGTGATGAACTCAGGCAGGTCTCGATCCCTGCTGATGGCAAGTACCCCTTCCCCTTGCAGGCCGCTTCCTGGATGAGCAGGGCCAGCACATCCACTCGCCCTCACCCAGCTACCTCCCCTTCGGGGCCGGGATCCGTGTCTGCCTGGGAAAAGTCCTGGCCAAGATGGAGCTCTTCCTCTTCCTGGCCTGGGTGCTGCAGAGGTTCACACTCGAGTGCCCCGAGGACCAGCCCCTGCCCTCTCTGGAGGGCAAGTTTGGTGTTGTGTTGCAGGTGCAGAAGTTTCAGGTGAAGGCCCGTCTGCGGGACGCCTGGCGAGCGGCCTCATGATGAGAATGAGCCCTGGATCCCAGGCAGTGGTGGGGTGGGCTGGGACAGGCCCATAGAGGCCATACCCTGCCTGCCCCGTGGATGTGGGGTTGTCTGAATAAAGATGTTCCCAACACAGCATGGCTCCAGCTATTTTTTGGGCAGGAGATGGAGGGCAGGGGAGGTGTGGGATGTATGGTGGCCCTGCAACTTTCTGTGAGCACTGGGCTGAGCTGGGAGGCTGTGGTGCCTCTGTGGGGCTGCTACCATGAGGGATGTGGGGTGAGGGCCCATGCAGAGACAACCATGAGCCGTGGAAACTAGCCTCTCCCACAGCTGACCCCGGGAGAAGGGTCCACCCCAGCCAGGAAAAGTGGGAAAACGACCAGTGGGCAGCTTGGCAGTTAGGGATGCCCAGGCTGTGCCCAGTGGCTGTGACCCTGGGTGGGTGACCTTGGCTGGCCCCTGCCTCAGTTTCCCCACTGGGAGGCAGGAGAATGAACGCATTGCAAGCTGGGAGCTGAGCCTGCCATGGGGCAGGGAAGAGCTCCCCCAGCCCTGCCTTTCTCTGCCCCATCCCAGGACAGTGTGTCCCAACCAGCCCCAGTGGGGGCTCCCATTGCTCAGGGACATGGAGGAGCACCCAGAGGTGCCCGTACCCCACAGGCTGAGCTCAACTGCAGGCCCCCAGACCCAGTGCGTGGGCACCATGGAGCCGAGGGCTGCTGAAATTCCCTGTGCAGCAGTGTGGCATCTCCCACCTGCAAGGTGTCCAGAGCACTCACTGTCTGGCTGGATTTTGGCCGTCACTCCAGCAGCAGCACAACATTCCTGTAACACAAGGGGACGCATTTGCTCCGCTTTCACCAGAAACCACTGTGCCATGGAGGGCAGCGTGTAATTAGGTTTCTGGTTCCCTATTACTTGAGCTCTTAATATTTAACTAAATAGCTACACAGCTACGACTCAGGGCCCTCGAGGGAAAGCAGCCAGGGTGGAGGGGAAAACCCCACAGAGACCTAGCACAGTGTGACACCCCCAGCCCTGCACACCCTCATATTTTCCCCCTTTTCTATTTCCCTCTGCCCCTCTCTTGTTAGCAGGCAGGAAAACTGACCTAAAACCTCCCCATCACTAAACTTTCTACTCAGTGTGTCAAAACGTAGGTGTTCTTTAAAATCCCAGCACTTGGCTTTCATGCAGCCCCTTCATCATCCCCCATCTGATGCCAAATGGGTCCTGTGGCACGAGGATGATGAAGATAATGTGTTTGCAGCCTGGCATAGCACTGGGAGCATCCTCCCTCCTCCCAGTCATTCTCCCAGGGGGCTCAGGGAAGTAGGGAGAAGCTGGAGAAAGAATTGCCATGCACACACCTGCCCCAGGGACAATCCTCAGGGTGATGTGTGCAGCTAACTCACCGGGCAGAGGGAGTACAGCAGGAGCCCAGCCCCACTGCTGCCGCACAGAGTCTCTGCTGAGCCCCACACTCCTTCCCACTCCCCTGCCTGTTTCCATCACACCAGGGGTGCCATGGGTTTCCAATCCCTCCACTTCTGCTAGCACAGACTGAAGCTGGGTGGGTGAAGGGGGACTGGACTCAGAATGGGCTTTAGAAAAACTTGGCTAAACACGATGCTCTGGGCTTTCCTGGGGACTGGCACCTCCATGCCAGCCTGGTCCTTCCCCTGCCTCAGATCCTGTCCCTGGCAGCACATGTCGGCAGGGAGGCTCCTCTCCAGTCTCCTGCAGTCACCAGTACCTGCAGCAACCTGACGCCTCCAGAGGCATCAGCAGGACCTCCAACACCTTTGTGCCCCTTTGCCAAGGCATTTGAGTTTGCTCTTGGTAAGGGAAGGGATTTTCTCCTTGCCCGAATCAACCCGGTGTTCGTTCGCCAAGGCGCCCTCTCGCGCATTCACACTCACACAAGTGCTCAAGGCCAGCAGGTACCTTGGGGTAGAAATGGGGACCTTTGAACCAGGCATGTTTCTAGACTGGAGAACGCCTCCAGCCGCAGCCACTTGCACTCCACATGTTTCCCCATTTGCCAGGGCTGGCATGTGCTGCAAGCCCCATCGCCCCAAGCCCAGCCCTGCTGCAGGGCATCTTGCCCCCTGCCCACCTCGTCTCCTCCCAACTGGGAAAAGATGCTGCCACAGGGGGATCAGTGCCCAGCACCAGCTGCCCGGTACCTTGTGAGCTGGTAAACTGCCACTGGCATGGCTGCTCCCTGCTCTGGGAATGGGCAGAGACGCTGCTGATTCACACGGCTGGTATTTATGTCCTGACAGCTGCTCTGGGGCCCTGCTGCTGCATCCAATCCCCCAACCCCAGCAGAAAACTTCACCTGGATTGATGCCACTGGGGCAGCGCTGGATTTGTCCCATAGTGGGCCCCAACATCTTCCCACTCCCAAGGCCCCCATAGAAGTCAGGGTCCCCTGAGACTCAAGACACACAAATCCACCACCTTGGACAAGGCTTTGTTCAGATCTGGCACTGGGCAGCTCAGTGACCCAAAAGCTGGGGGGGATGAGGCAGCCGTGCCCACGGGAGAGCCGGGAGGAACCTCAGCATCTGCCACCAAGTTTCAGCTGACTGAGCACAGGCAGCCACTGGGAACGCTGAGGCTTTTGCTGCTGAAATAATCCTGCTGCTGTAACAGCTTGGACTGTGTTGGGTCCCTGCCCTCCTTGGGTTGCCGCTCCTTGGGGTCCTTGCATGGGTGGAACCAGGACAGGAGGGAGAGGTGCTGAAGGGTTTGGAAGGGTCAGGAACTAGCAGCTCCATCTCCCTGATGCAAAAGGGTCTTGCAAGGGAAGAACTGGTGATGGAGGAAAGGATAAAGCTTTTCCATGGCTGTTCCCACACTGTTCCCTGGGTATACCATGAAGTAGATGTGCAGCTTGCTGAGGCAGGATCAGAGGGCACTGGGCAGAGCAAGCCTGAGCCTTTCCATTGCACAAACTAATTTTGGGGGACACAGCCATCCCCACAGCACTCGGCTGACCCAGCTGTGCTACAGCACCAAGCTCAGCAGCCCTTCAAGTTTGAGAGCCTTCACTTTGCACCAGGCACTAGATGACCCTGGACTGTGACAGTGATGGCCAGCGCAGGAGGAGCAGGAGACGCTCAGAATACCTGCAGGCTCTGCAGCGGGCACGGTGCCAGGAGAGCTGAGTAAGCACAGACCTCAGGACACAGCTGTTCACCGGCCGAAAACAAATCGAGAAACAGCCCGGCAGCCTGTGACCCCCCCGGCACAGAGACTGCAGCGTTTGCACCACCGTCGCGACAGCCCCGGTACAGGCACCCGTCCCATCTGATAAAAACGGATCTGTGCTGCAAGGATGGGGGAAACCAGCTCTGACAATAAGCTGTGGGATGCTGCGGGGCTTGCCTGAGACAGGGAGCTGCCAGTCTGCCTCCCCTCCTGCCTGATCCAGGCTTTTCCTATATAAACAAAAGAAGGAAAAAGAAAAGAGGGGGGGAAAGCCTCTCTGGGATGTGTTGCACAGGAGGGTGAGCGAAAGTTGGGAGGCAGCAGCCTTCAGGGAGAACCAGTCATCTGAGACAGCAAAGGAAGTTTGTTCACTGGTGCTGGACCCTGCTCTCTGTCAAACTTTGCCAAGAGGGAGTCACAGTGGGACAAACCCAGCCAGGGCATGTAGAGAACTAGAAGAGATATGGCTGTGGGAGCCTGGGCTGCACGGGGCAGGAAGGGAGCACAGCCCAGGCACTCACTGCTGATGCACATCCCCAAGTGGTGAGGGGTGCTCAGGGAGCCCAAAGCTCCCATTGCCCAGTGGAACAGACTCATGCTGTCAGTGGAGCTGCTGATTTTGCTTCTCCCCAGGCTTCCTGCCCCAGAAAGCTTTTGATGACTGTGTAATGCAGAGGCTTAACTGCACCTCGGCTTTCCTTAGCCTCCAGTTAGTCACGTAAAGCTCTGAGAGCAGGCTGCCAGCAAGCATCAAAACACAACTCCCTTCTCTTCCATCTTCAGCCAACACCCATCCACAGGGTTGTACAAACATGCAATGATATGCGGCAGGAAAATCACACCAGTGTTCTCAGAGGAGGAGTTTGCATCATCGGAGCTGAAGAGTCACTTGGGAACACAGAGGCAGTAGTGCAGTATCCAATGCTCCCAGGAGCCTCTGTTGTGCCTAGGGGGCACTCCTGCTGAGCCACCACACTGTGCTCTTCACCTGTCCCCAGGTAACATCCCCCAAGCCCACCAGGACACCTGCTGGGTCCTTGCCCTCAGAGCCAATTTTGGTGGCTGAGAACACGCTGTGTAAGCAGATCCACACTGCCATGGACTCCAGCAAGAACAGATTTCAAGGAGTATCAGCAACACCACTTAAAGCAAGTTGTAAAACAAAACACCAAGCAGTGGATTGACACTAATTTGCTGTCAAACCTGCTGCACTATTGCAACTCAGTTTTGAAACTACACGTTCACATCTCCCATAAAACACTCACCCCTTACAGCTGGGAATGGGTGGGGTTTGGTGCTCTGGTGTTATAGATGCACACCTGCCCACGTCCTCACAGCTCCAGCACTTACACCCACAGCGTGGATTTGGAGAAGGAGCTCTGTTTGGGCCATGTCAGCTTTCTACACAGGGATCAAGCACCTTTCTAAAGCTCCAAAGCTGGAGGTTTGGGAGTCCTCTGCCTGCCTGAAGAGGATGTGTCTGAGGAGCTCACGTGACTGGTGTTCTGCCCTGCATCACTCCTCCCTATACCAGTTTGCCCAGGCTGCAGGTCTAAAAGCCTAAAGCACTGAGAGCCACTGACAGTCCTGCTCCTCCTCAGGCATTTGTGAGGTCAAGAGACATGGTTTGTGCCCCATTCGTTTCTTTATGGTCTTTAAAAGCCTGAAAAGCTCCAGGAGTCATAAAACAGGCACACCACTGCTTCTTCCTTTTTAAAAGTAAGAACATCAGCTCAGTTTACTGGTACTCACCTCTATGTCCAGAGAAGCAGCAGCGTGTTCCCCTGACCTTAGTAGGATGTCAGGAAAGCAAACATGGAGATTTTTGTCTTAGGCCAACAGAAATGTTGGCAGAGGGTCTCGCATTGGCACAGGGCTGTCCTCAGGATTTACAGCAGTAAACGCCACTCACT